TATGTCGAATGAAAAAGGGATTATTAAAAAATATTATTTCTCATAAAAAAATTGTGTTGATTCATACACTTTTCAATGAGCATTATAAAGTTAAAAATGTAACCAACCCAACCCAACATTAACTCCTATTTCCTTAATTATATCCAGATTAGTAATTCGTTTAATTATATATTATATAATTTTTATAATTAATTATTTTCAAATTATTATCGATTTTTAATATGTTAAATGTAATCATTTTGAACCAACTTCTTTTTGTCCTTTAAAGTGAAAGTTTTAATAAAAAAAAAAAATGAATTTATTACCATAACTTTTATGTATTATAACAAAAATAAAAAAGAAAAACGTCCTTACAATATTTTTTTCTATGAATTATGTTACTTTAAAGCTAAAAATCATAGCATTTTAGTAAAAAGTCGTCACTTTTACATTTTGCTCAATTCTTTCATAAAATTTGTTTTCATAAATTTTTTTCCAAAAAAGGAAAATGTTGCAGATTGTCTGTTCTAATTTATCTTATAACGAATTGAAGCTCTTGAAGTATACTACAATATTGTTAAGTTATTATAATAACTTATGTTTAAATAAATTAGCAAATAGAAATTTTTATTGTCTATATAAAGGATAATTTTTTTTTGTCCCGAAGGAAGAATACAGAGTGATAGTACTAACTATGAGACTATGTCTTANGAGTGATAGTACTAACTATGAGACTATGTCTTATATCTGTATATATATGTCTTATTTAATATCTTAAAAAATACAAGTGTTATAAACTATTTTTTTTTTAATCATTATGGATCTTTGATGAGGTATTTCACAAAAAAATTTAAATTTCTACCACCATCTCTTATGCTTAAAGCTTGTATCAACTTCATATTATCAAATGGTAACCCTATTTTTTTTTACACCATTAGATTTAGTTAAATAAAAAAAAATATTTTATTTTATTTGATATTAAGTGCTCTACGGCTTTTTTAAGTTTAGGGTTTATTAAGAAAAAATTATAATAGACTCGAACATTGTAGGTGATAAATCGATAAGTGCTATTCTGACTACATGCGTTGATACCGGTAACTCTTATCGCTACATAAAATAATAATGTGATCGTGTTGGAAAAACTACTGACTTTTTTCATCAAATATCGTAAATTTTAAATTAGCGTAACTTACTTAAAATTTATAATTTATAATTTTTTTTTGTTAACTATTTTTTTTTATGACGAACAAAAATATATAACAATAATATGGAGTTACCATTTGAAAATCTGAAGTTGATACAAGTTCCAAGTATAAGAGATGATGATAGAAATTTAATTTTTCTTGTGAAACAGCTCATCAAAGAACCATAATGATTAAAAAAAAAAATTGTTTATAACACTTGTATTTTTAAAGATCTTACGTGTAACATAGTTAGCCAATCACTCTGTATAGTATCTAGAAAAAAATGAATAGTAATATTTTATATTAAAGAATACATGTGAAAAACATATTATTTTATGCACATGTAGATAATCAAACTTTTTTAATTACAATATGGCATATTTAAAGGGAGATTAAGACAGCAATCTTGTCATTTAGAAAATTTCGAAGAGCATCTCTTAGGATTTATTATATTTTTTAGGAATAAGTTCTATTAAATAAAATCTGAAACTTTTTGGGACATAAAAATTATTTAAATTACTCCAAGACAGATAATTTTTAAAAAATACAATGTACATATTGTAAATATATATATATTATCTATATGCACATACATGTATATAGCAATACATGCATTATATTATGTTATACACGAATTATAATTATTCTAACTATATTTATTTATGAATAGTTTACCAATGCTGTAATCCATGTTTTCCATAGAGTTCTGTCATCTTTTATTAAAAAAGTATTTTTTAAGTGATAATCTCTCTGATAAAGTGATTTTTTTTCACTTTCTTGTATAGGAAAAGAACTATGGTATCGCTCGTCATACCAATTTCCTACGAGAACTTTGGAGTTATACATATTACTATTAAAATATTGTTTTCACTTTATCAAAATTATTCTAGTGAAATTTTATTAAAAGTTTGTATTTCTAAGATAGTAAATTAAGTAGCATTAAGGCTAACAAAATAATTATAATTTTATGGATATGCTATTTGTAATTTAAACTCAATTTTTCATTTCTCATTTTGAAATAATCATAAAATAATCTAAATAATATGAATATAATTATAAAACAAATTATTGATGCTGACTGAGATCTTCCATAAGTAAATTTGCCTAAAATCAATATTTATTTGCAATTTTAACTTAATCATTTTCTGCATTAACATAGTTTGGATGGTGGATGTGAGGGCTTCAGTCTACACAGAACTACTCGTAGCCCCCTCAAACGAATTGAATTAATTTTTGTGGTAGAGGAGACATAAATCAATGTGATAGAGAAACTTCACATTAGGTATTTATCCAAATGTATGAATAAAAAACAAGACTATAGCTCCCATAGACCTTTTTTTTTAAGCTATGCCTATGATTTTCTGTATAAAAATTCACAGTATATAATTGTTTATTTATAAATTTTCGATAGCTTTCGAACAATTAAACTAAGCTTTACAGTTATTTAAAAAAATGTATATACAGTTACCCAACTACTCCTTAATTTGCCATACATTTTTTTTATTTTAACTGAAATATTTCCTAGAAAATGGATTTAAACAAATATTTAGAGTCAATGATTTTATATCTATTGAATGATATAAAAATAAAGTTGTAGGCTAATATAATAAGGTAAAATTTGAAATACTAAAAAATATAAAAATATGATATGATAAAATGATTAATTTCTTGTATATTATAATTTTTAAACTCTTCAGAGCATTTTTAAACAATACAGTACTGAAGCGACTAATGTCCTATAAAGAGCTAAGATAAAAAAATTCATTATTTATTTTTTTAATTATGTTATTTATAAAAAAATTAAGATAAAGGTTTAGGTATTTCAAAGTGCTGTAAAGAGTGACAGGACTGTTTTTAATTATTCTATAAAAGTAGAAGGGAACTTGATGATAAGAGAATTATTAATAGGAATGGTTTATAGCATAGGTTTAGTAGCCGTTTTGTTGTTTGCAATATTTATGTGAATTCTATAAAAAATTTGAAACGTTTATTCCGATTTTGGTTTCAGTTTTTTCAGATAATTAAACATTTAAAACATAAAATTTTGAAAATACATGTTTTTTAAAACTTCTATAAAAAAATTTGATGAAAAAAGAATTTGTACAAAATTTGGTGCTTATCCGTCAAATTTAATCATTTTTATAGAACATTTTAGTTGAGTTTAATGAGCAGTTTAAGAAAAAAAAGTTGAACTTTGTGACTATATTACAATTATATATATATATATTTTTAATGAATATAATATTATAATTGTTAAAATGTTATAAATTACTATGATATTGAAATTTATTTAACAGATGGATAAGTTTAATTTTACGTTTTAAGTGGAAAAATAACTTTAAATCAGGTTTGATAATAAATATTAGAAGTTATTGAACGATTATTTTTTTCTACTTTTATAATAATGTATTTTGTTCTGTGAGATGTTTCTTTAAGACTGAAAGTGATAAATTAATCCATTATGGTTTTAAATTAATTATTATTTGGTATTTTTTCAACAATTATCACATATAATTGTACATAACATTCAAGGAAATATTTCCATCATATTTAAAAAAATAAATTTTCCGTTAGGCAGAGATACTACTTTATAAAAATTTATGATATATTATCAATATTTAATACAGTATTTCCCGAGTAACTAACCATTTTAAATACTATATTTATGACTACGAATGATTATAAATTAATTAAGGCTAAACAAATAAGACAATTACTTTGTAGAAACAGTGACAAATAACGAACAAATTAATAAAATTAATAAAATAAGAATTTATTAGATTATACTATTATTAAAAATCAAAATAAGAAATATAATTAATAGAGCTGGGTTGATATCAATCAGATTAAAACGGTGCGCAATTTTTAAATTTAAATGACGAGATCAGACGTCTTGTAAAATAGATCACTGACTGACACTCTAACAGAATAAATAAATTATGCAAAAATATATTTGAAATTACGTTCGATATTAATGACGCTATTTAAGTTGAAACTAATGTCTCCATTTTAGGTACATTCTTTATTGTATACCAAAAACCAAATTTCAAAAAAAAAACCATAACTGAGATTTTCATGTTATAAAGAGCATGCTTGATATCCGCAAATATTTCGACAATAGGTCTTTCTTTTTTAACTTGCGTGTTTTTGGAGGTTTCCTCAATTTACGGGGAACGAGGGAAATTTTTTCAATTTTTGAGGGTATCATTGAAAGAAATCGGTGCGGTGAGAGCTGAGAAAAAGTGGTAACAGACACAAAAAAATAAAAATAATAAACACATCTTAGTAAAACCAATACTTTCTCAGCTTCGTATCGAAGTTAAAACAGTGCATGTTACGAATACGCCCGGATGAAGTGAAATTTCATTCAGAGTCATTTTACTAATAGAATATAAGGTTTGTTTGGAATAAAATAAAAAAAATACACTGAAAAATTTTATTTCAAGTGAAATTAATATAAAATTATTAGTTTTCTCATTATATTGCCAAGAAAAATATAATGGATTTATAATAGCTGAAATAACATAGGTAAGTTTTTGATTGGACTTCATGAATATATCGCGTGGAAATTGCATCTAATGTGGTTTTTTAAAATTTTTTATGCAGAATCAAAATTATATGAAATTAAATTACTTCATTCATTTTAAATAAAATTACTTTTATTTTAGAAAATAAAGTGATAAATTATCATATAATATAAGACAATTACTTTGTAGAAACGGCGACAAATAACGAACAAATTAATAAAATAAATTATATAAGAATTTATTAGATTATTCTATTTAATTACATATTATTAAAAATCAAAATAAAATAATATAATTAATAGAACTAGGTAGATATCAATTAGATTTAAACGATACGCAATTTTTTAATTTTAATTACGAGATCAGAAATCTTGTATTATAGACCTTTGACTGACTTTTTAATTTCAGTATAAATAAATGAATGCAACAATATAATTGAAATTAAATTCGAGAGTTATGATGCCACTTATACTGAATGTCTCTAAATTTCAAAGATCCAATGTCTTTATTTTAGATACACTCTTTATTGTATGCCAGAAACCGAATTTCAAAAACATTTCCATTACTGATATCTTTATGGTATAAAGAGAATATTTAATACTTGCGATTATTTCGTCTCTAGGTATTTCTCTTTCAACTTGCGTGTTGTACCATTCAATTACATTCGATGGATTTGGCTGTATTGGTCTACAGTTATTATTCATGAAATCTCGAACATTATGATATAATTCATCCAGTTTTTCGTCTATAAAATTGTCATTCTTGTTGTATGATGAAGCTAAATAATGTACTATGATAACGCATGCATCAATGCTATTTTTAAGTTCCATTTCAGTGTAATTTGAAAAAGAAGAAAATGCAGCCGGCCAATCTTCAATGAAATTTGTGAAAGAATCAAATTCCATTATTAGTTGTTTTTTACATTTTTTTTTTTCTGTAGTATATTTTTTTTTACATTCTATCCATAATATTGTTACAAAATCTATATAATCTTCTAATTTCTTCGCAAAATTACAGCTCAGCAACAAATAAAAATGTCTTACTTTATCGTTCTTATTCTCAGATGTAACAAAGTTTTTTGTTCCAAATCCATCAAACAATTGGTCCATGGTAATTTCACCATTATTTCCGTCATAAATATGCAAACCGTCTCTAAATTCATTCCAATATGAATATTTTAAAAAGATTTCAAATTCACAAACTTTATAATAAAAATTTGACATTAATATACACTTTTTGGTATGCAGGAAATCAAATTTCAACAATAAAGCTATAACATTAATTTTTATTTTATCAAGATGAGGTTTGACTATCCAAACTACATCACCGTAAGGTCTATTTCCAACTTGTCTGTTGTACCATTCAATTTCATTCGATGGAGTTGGCTGTTTTGGTCTACAATTACCATTCATAAAATCTCGAACATTATTATCTAATTCATTAAGTTTTTCATCTATATCAATGTTACTATGGTTGTATGATGAAGCTAAATAATATAGTATATTTACATAAGAATTAATGTTATTTTTAAGTTCCATTTCAGTATAATTTGAAAAAGAAGAAAATGCTGCCGGCCAATCAGCAATGAAGTTTGTGAAAGCAGTAAATTCTCTCATTATATAATGCTTATATGCTTTTTTTTGGTCGGCATGTTTTTTACATTCTGTCCACATTATTTTTACATAATCTGTATATTCTCCTAATGTCTTAAAAAGATTGCAACTTAGCAACAAGTAAAACTGTCTCGCTTTATCGTTTAGATTTTCAGATGTAACAAAATCACTTCTAGTAATTCCATTAATCAATTGGTCAAAGGTGATTTCTCCATGACTTCCATCAATAATATGTAAATTTTTTCTTAATTGTAGCCAATTAGGGTTTTTTAAAAATACGTTTAACTTAGAAACTTTATCTATGGAGTTTACAAAGTCAAAATTGAGAGTAATGCAAATCAAACTAAATGAAAATAAATATTTAGTATACATTTTGAAATATAAAATTTTTTCACTGTGAAATAAAAGTTGCGTTGATTATATTTTTAGTTAATAATGTTTCATTTTATACAAAATATGTTATTTATATAAAAAATCGTTGACAGTAATTATTTTTAGATTATACTTTTCAGTTAAGGTAATTTAAAATGTGATGTTTTATTACTTACAATGTAAATATGTTTTAATTTTGTATAGAATAATTTCATTATATTACTGTGATTCTATTATTATTTAACATTTTGCACTTAATATTAAAAAAATGAATTTAAACATTTATTGTCAAAAATAGTCTTAAAATAAAATTTTAATTTAATATCTTGAAGTATTTTAGAGTTCTTCAAATTATCGTAGCCAGACTAAAAACGATGCTTCGTAGATCAGATTGGGTGGAGTGTAAGGTTACTATACCGAGTACTTGATGTAATATATTTTTTTGTAAAAGCTTCAACCTAGAGATGTGTATAATATTATTTGTAATAATTTTAAGAGTGGTCAACCAAATTGTTGTCTGATTATACGTGAGCTATCTCAACGGTAGATTTCATTCATAACCATTATGTTACGTACAATTTTTGTGAACGAATATTTAATGAAATCCAATAAACATTTTAAATGCTACGATTACTAAATCAAGGTTGTTACAGTATATTAAAAAAATTTAAATAGTATTATAAAATTTTGAAATTTACTTAGTTCTTATGGGTAATATAATGTTTTTAACTGTTTACTTAGTGTTATAAACAGGTTTTTTTTTTAACAAATCTGTTTAATATTGTGATGTTTTTGATTTTAAAATGGTTAAATTTTATGCACTAAAATACTACTTATTGAATTAATGTTTTATAGTTGTCACAATTTTATTGAAAAAAATAAAACAAAAACGGTCAGCTGTAAAGTATATTTTATATTATAATTTATCACTGTATTTTCGAAAATAAAAGTAATTTTGTAACGTCACAAATTCAAAGGTTTATGATTTTTTGTTATGTCTACTTATTTATTTTATCGCGCGAAAGAACCTTTTTCTAGGTTCTTCTATAGGTTCGTCTTGCCCCTTGGTGTTCTAGGGTACGGTCCCATCAGGTCGATACTGATTACTTCCCACGGCTGTCTAGGTTGGCGCTTGACCGTCGGGTCTTCGGGGCGCATGTTTAAGGGCTTAGTGCACGCGCAAATGTGACACGATTTTACGTACATGCGTACGGCGTTTCTTAACCCTTTACAGTAGAACCGTTGTTTGACCGCTCGGTGTGTTTCTCTCCATCCGGGGTGACATAATAGAGGACCGTCGTGGTACCGCCAAATTATATGTTGTACTTTGTCGGTGGGGACGACTACCGGTGTGTCAGCGCCTATACGAATACGTAAGATACCGTCCAACAAAAAAAATTCGTGGCCGGTTTTTCGTTCGCTATCGTAAGTTGCGCATTTAAATTTTTTATGACCGAAGAGAGAAACTGGTCGTTGTTTTGCCACTCTCGTACATCCCCCCCCCGTGAACGGTCGGTCGTAGATCGCGTCGTTTGCCTCGGTAATGGAGTAAATACTATCGAGAGTGGCGGTGGTTGTGGGCGGGCTAGACATTGGCGCGCCTAACAAATTGTCGTCCAGGGCGTCTTCGTCAACAGGGGATCCGTCCGTTGGGTGACGTGACAACATGTCGGGCGATTCGTTGTGTTTGCCCGGTACGTGTGTCGTGGTGAAATTTAGGTAACCCAGGTGTAGCGCTCAGCGGGTCAACTTACTGTTTGTTCCCTTCGCTTTGTGCAGATAAGTTAGCGCTAAATTATCTGTGTATAACTCGAAAGGGGCGTACTCTAAGTATGACCTAAATTTATCGGTTGCCCATATGACATATTGCTAGACATTCGCGCTCGACAGCGGCATAACGTTTTTGCGTATCCGACAGCTTTTTACTCGCGTAAGCAATGATATCCTTTACCCCGGTTTTTGACCGTGTTGAAATAATACCGCCCCTACGCCTAGTTCACTAGCGTCAGTTTGTAGGCAAAAGATCTTTGTGTAGTCGGGGGAGGAAAGGCGTGGTGAATCGCATATTGCCGATTTGATGTGCTCGAAAGCGCGTTGTTGTGTTTGAGACCACGACCACTTCTCCCCTTTCTTTAAAAGGTGGGTGAGGGGATCGATGCTGTCAGCATAATTGTCGACAAACTGACTATACCAGTTGCATACCCCTAAAAATTTTCGTATATCCCTTACATTGCGTGGGACTGGAATATCGCGTATAGACTGCAATTTTTCCGGCTCTTTGTCTATGCCTAACCCATGCACCCGGTGTTCCAAAAAAGAAATTTCAGAATACCCGATCTTACACTTTTTAGTGTGGCATGTTAGGCCATGACGCATTAGGCATTCTAGAACCTTGCTAAGGTGGTCTAGATGTGTTTTGACACTGTCTGAAAAAATTAAAATATCGTCCAGATAGACTTGAACGAAGTCATCGATGTACCCCCTAAGTACTTCGTTCGTTAAGCGTACGAAGGTCATGGGTGCATTCTTAAGTCCGAACGGAAGTACACGAAACTGAAATAATCACTTTTTTGTTCTGAACNAACACTGTCTGAAAAAATTAAAATATCGTCCAGATAGACTTGAACGAAGTAATCGATGTACCCCCTAAGTACTTCGTTCATTAAGCGTACGAAGGTCATGGGTGCATTCTTAAGTCCGAACGGAAGTACACGAAACTGAAATAAGCCCTTTTTTGTTCTGAACGCGGTGTATTCGCGTACGTTTTGCTGTAAAGAGCATTGCCAGTAACCCGATTTTAAATCGAGTGACGTGAAGACTTTCGCCCCCTCATGCTTCTTTCGTTTAGATTAGGCATAGGATACGCGTCTGATACGCGTATATAGGTTTTTGCGCGATAGGCGTCGGGTCTTTTAGAACGATGTTGTGTTCGATAAGCTTTGTGCGACCTACCGTGTCGTTAAAAACTGCAGAATAATTTTTTATCGTGCGCGTTAATAATGCGTGTGTATGTGGGTCGCCTGCTATATCTAGTGTTGAGAGATCTACGTCGGGTAGCGTGTGCTGAGTACTCGCTTTCCAACAAGCTGTAGTGCGTCGCGTCGCGCCCAAGTGAATTGTACATGCAGCGTAGTCCCAGGAGACTTCCTGTTCTGTTAGAAAGTCGTGTCCCAGGAGTACGTCACAGTNAACTTCCTGTTCCGTTAGAAAGTCGTGTCCCAGGAGTACGTCACAGTACAGATTCTCTAAGATAACAGCCGTAAACTTTACTTGTAGATCCGCAATTTTTGTTATAAAAGTGGCTGTGCCGGCCGTGTNAATTTTTGTTTTAAAAGTGGCTGTGCCGGCCGTGTCTGTTGTGTGGCCGTCAGCTAATCTAACTGGGGGTGTTTGTCCGTTGTGCACAATTCCGAATTTGTGAGCTGTTGCTCGAGTGGTATACGATTTTTGCGCTTGAGAGTCAAGTAAGGCCGTCACAAAGCCGTTGTCAAATTCCAGCTCCACAGCGGGAGTGGTAAGTTTACGCGGGCGTGTTTGTGAGGCAATACTCAGGTAGTTAGCGGTTCGAACGGGGAGCGTTGAAACGGTTTGTTCGCCGGCAGTATTAATTGCCATAAGCGGGTAGGCCGTTCCTGCCGTATTCCCCTCCCCCACGGTGACCAACATATCGTTGGACCGACTCGCGCTATAGTCGTTACCTATTAAGTCTACGAACGTGTGACAAGTATTTCGAATAATCTTATGGTCCTCATTGTGGATAAGGGTGTGGTGGTGGTGAAGTGAGGTGCTACAGCCTGCCCACTATAATGACAGTGGGGCTGTAGGGGTGTTGGTGAAGGTGGTGTGATAGAAGTGTGGTTGTTAGTAAGATTATTCAAAATAGAGTCATTTTGTTCGTAGAAAGCACATCCGTTTTTGCTACCCGAGTTGACTGAACGGGCGGTTTGGTCGGCGCGCTGATTAATATGATAAAGTTTTGGGCGGAATTGTGTTTGTGAGTCCGGAGAACGGACTAGTTTCTCCGTGGCTGCTGTCCGTTTCCAGGCACTGTCGGTCTGTTAGGACATTCGCTTTGCCAGTGATCGGCTCCGCAAAAGCGACAGGGTCGGGGGGGACGCGGATCGAGCGGTGCGTTTGGCCGAGGTCGCGTTCTTTGCGATTGTTGCGAGGGTGATATGGCAGCCACGTACGGATTAGCGTTATTGATAAGTCTACCCGTACGTATCGGTCGGTCTAGATCGTTTGCGATTACGCGTAAGTCATCTAAAGTACGCGGACATCGCATTCTTACATTACCGTAATATTAGTTACGTAACAGACTGACTACCCGATCTACAATGTGCTGCTCAGAGCAACTGGGGCGTGCGCGCATCGCTAGACGTTGTTTATTTATGATAAATTCCGTCATGCGCTGATGTGGCCCCTGTTGCGTCTAATTCAGCTTGTATGCTGTTGTTATCGAACGTCGTGAGAAATTCCCTCGCAAATTGTCGCCAGGACATGTTGTTTAACTTGATGGTTTCCCACCAAGTTAATGCTTTAACCCCTTTAATCCCTTTAAAAATTGTACGCCCGTTTTTACCCATAAATCTCGATCTATGCCCGCTTGGGCCAATAGGTTTTCTACCTGTTCTAGAAACTCGCGTGG